GACTTGAAGTTACCACTTCATTTGCAAGATCGCTCTTTGACAGTCCAAGGGGGCATTAGAGTCATTCAAGATGAAGATGGAAAGCTGCTTGGAGGTGCAAATTCCTGAAGCTTTGGAGAAAGCTGCAGGTTGTAAGTTCAATGAACATGGCTCGTTGGAAGCTTGTTGAGATCAAGATTTGTTGATCCCACTTTCATTCCAGATTTGGAGGACTCACCAGAGCTGATGAGAACAACTTTGGTGAAGAGGGGAGGCCGATGGCTCACGCCTGAAATTGTGAAAGTGTGATGAAGAAGGAGGAACTTGATGAGCAATTGTTTGACGGTGCCGTCTCATTCCTACAAACGCAATTTTCAGCTATGAGCCAGGTCAGCAAGGTATGGGGTTCTCTGCGCCCGGATACAAGGAGCTTGAAAATATAGATGAGAGAAAGAAAGATGTGGAGGAGGCAATCGAAGAGATTACGCCTACTCCACCAGAGAAGGCGGCAAAGGACCAGAAGGAAAAGGATAAGAAGGAAGAAGACTTCGAGTCTGAGTTGTAATTGAGCCCACTGGACGTAGACAAAGCCCTGGTGAATAGAGTAGAACTGACTGAGGGTTCTACTTTGGCAACATTAACATTGAGGGCAGCGTGCTCATTTCTTGGCATCTCAGGTAGCGGCTCTAAGTTGAAGGTCGACACAAATTTCCTCAATCGCAACGCAAAGATGGAGTTTCTTAATGCCCAAAGTTTGGTAAGTGAAGCAAAAGCGCCGGAGACTAGAGAAGCTCTAGGGCAGAATGGAGGGTGGATAAGATGCCCATGAAGCCACTCAAGCAAGGCGCAGGTTGACACACCTCCCATGTGCAAATTTGTGTAAGGAGTGCGTTGAGCACCGAGCGCACGCCATGAGAGGACAGATGCAACCAATAGAAGAAACGTCCCGGAGGCCTCTTGGACTTTTGCTACAAAGAGAATCAGAAACCAAATCAGCTAGAGCAGATTGTTGGCGAGTTGCAATCGAAAGCCAGACTGGATTGATCCATGTTGTAGCACTTGGAAACAATAACCAATTTCGTCTCATTGTGTAAGAGTTGATGAGTTTCAGTCAGACGTTGGGGTATATTCAGCAATCATCTACAGGAGCGACAACGAGCCTACGACAAGACAAATCCTGAAGATGCTAATCAATGCTCGTCGCAGTCTAGGACTTACGACCAGGTTGAATCTTTCAAAGCTGGGAGATCATTCATTTCTGTCACAGAACACGGTTGACAGGGTGAGGAAGCTTGCAGGAAGTTTCTTTGAAGGTTTGCAATCAAAGCTTGGCATCAAGATAGGATCAGATCATGCACTTTGGACTTGGGCAGCAAGACATGCCAGTTGGGTGTTGAATCGATTTAAAGCAGTCAAGGGTGCCACTCCGTATGAGCTCGTGTACGGCAAACATTTCAAACAACTTTTAGCTGAATATGGTGAACCAGTTCATGGTTACATCATAATAAAGGAGAAGCTCGATGGCGTCTATGCCTATTTTGGGAAAAGTTGAAAGCCAAGATGCCTACATCTTGACAGATGGTGTGCAAGTAGATCTGAACAAGTGCATCCGAAGAATTGATCAAGATTGGTCCAAGTACTTGGCAATCTACAAAAGCGTTAATGCCTACTCCAGTGAATATCAGCTTCATTGCCACCAAGAGGAGCAGAAGCATTGCCAGGAGGACAAGCACACATTCCTGGAGAGCATGTGATGTTGAAGTTTAGAGATGAAGACGCTGAAGCTGTGATGGCAAAAGCTCTTGAAGGAGGAAGCAATTCAGAACGAGAACAACCACTTCTACCAGAGCCAAGCTCAGTTCCCGCACCGCCGGTAACTTTGGGAGAAGCAGCAAAAAGAGATGGAAGTGAAGTGATAAAAACCAAGTGGAGAGGACGCCCGAAGCAAGAAGCAGAAAGTTTTCTTTGCAGATGAGAAAGCGCTTGAGGTGACGATGCGTTCCCATCTACGCCAATACCAGCAGAAGGTCAACCCAATCCAGTTATTCCCATTTCGTCTTCATTGAGGTTACCATCCGTGCATTCGAGACCAAGGGAGGCTTTTGAATTGCTTGAGGAAGAGAGTCCTATGGAGAAACTTAGGCCATCAGATGACTGGCCAAGGGTGGCAGGAGAAGACCTTTATCATATAGATGAAGAATTGTCTCCAGTTGCAGAAGAAGTTGATGAAGCGGGGAAGAAGAAGGAAATAAGCAAGAAAGAAGAAGATGAACTAAATGGACCTGAATGATTGTGGCGGGGTGGAGAATATGGACTACAAGAAAGCCAGAAGAATGGATAGATCGTGTGGCTGCTGAGGTTGAAGAGAAAAGGCTTCAGAAGATGCAAGTGCTAGAAAGACCAAAGTGCATCACAGAATGTATCAGTTTCCTGACTACACGCGATGTATATGATTGCAGAAAGAAGCCTTGCTATCATGAGGATGAAACAACAAGCAAGAGGTGGAAAAGAAGATTGAGACTAGTTGCGCGTGAGTTTGCTTTCGCTCAAGGAAAGAGAGATGACGTTTTCTCACCAGCGACCTCAGGTCATGCACTGAAGCTTCTACCTATAGACTTCTTGTGAAGAAGAACAAGCAAGAGAGGGAGAAGGAGCATTTTCGCAAGCGCTAGGTTGCTTAGATGTGAAGGATGCTTTCTTGCAAGTTCCACAAGAGAAGCCTTTGAAAGCGAACCTGAGAGGAAAGGAGCTTACCTGGATAGAGAGTTGGAGCAAAAGCATGTTTTGACTTTTTCACAGGGTACCTCACCGACGAACTAGGTTTACAAGTTCAGTGCTGAATGTCCACGCCTGGGAAGAAATGAGAAGATCATTGTTTTGATTCATGTGGACGACTTGATGTTCAAAGTATATACATCAATGAGATCTTTCTTCCAAAGGTTCAAGACAGGTTTGACACCAGCGTGTGCAAGATTGAGAAGATGGGTGACGAATTCGATTTCTTGAATTTCTTGAGGAGAAAATACAAACTGGAAAGAGATGGACTATGGATCCAACCAGGGAACTAGCTTCAGGCAACTCAAATTCAGATGGAGGACAAGTCAGAGATCTTGTGCGATCAGGAGAAAACCCGTCTACTCAGAAGCATTGTTGGTTCAGGTAATGACGTGGCGTTTACTGTCAAGGAATTGGCTTCAAGAATGCCAAATCCAACGACTTATGTCCTTACTTGAAGAAACTCCTAGGATGCTTGAAGGAGACGATGGACTACTGTCTAGTGGTTGAATTTCAGGAGAAGGCCATGTGAAGAATAGTGGACACTACTGGTGCCTAGAGACATTCCCAGAACCAGACTGGAGCGGAAACAAAAGACATAGAAGATCAACGTGAGGAGGATGCACGAAACAGGTGCCCATTCTTCAACAGCAGTCGAACTCAGAAGATCAACTTATCTTAATGTGAGGCAGAGTTGCGTGCGATAGTTTCCTCAGCTTCAGATGGAATATACATTCGTTCAGTTCTTGAGTTTGCACTTGGGACAGAGGTGGACCATTACATCTTCACAGAGTCCTCGAGTGCGCACCAACATGTGACAAAGAAAGGAGATGGCAAGTTGCTGTGGATTCAGAACCGCAAAGACTTCACTATGGTGCAAGTACCAACAGACAGCAACATGGCAGACATTAATACCAAACCACTTGGAGGCCAGAGAATCAGATTTCTGATGAACCTTATCGGTTCCTGGCGCAATGAAGAGCACACAAAAGTTGGTGAGCTTGAGAGAAAGGTGTATGAAGAGAGAAGAACTTTGCGCAGGCAAGGTCAACAAAATTGCCAAGATGATTGTCAGAATCGAAACTTTTTGAGGGCTTGCAGCCAATGGTTTCAGAAGCTTCTACCTTCATGAAAGGAATTGACCAGTGCACGTTGGAAGTAGAAGAAAGACTCCAAACTAAACTGAAAATCACGATTGTCAGGATTATTATCTTTGGCTTTTGCAGCAATGGCCTCAGCAATGAGGGTCTTTTGGAACGATGTGAAAGAAAGAGTAGAAGCGCAAAGAAGATTCATCGCAGGCAAGGTGAATGAATTGGAGATTAGAGTGATAGAAGTCAAATGCCAGTTCGATAGGAGAGAGGAAGATGAACAAGAACCATATTCCATGCGCAGACAAGCCTATGATATGATCTCAGAGTCAACGCAGCAAGCCACTTTGCAAGAAGGAGCTTAGAGCATTTGAGAGCTACAAGAGGACGATGTTGTGGACACAACGTACTACTAGAGGCAGCAACTCAGGGAGCAGTTCTGCTAGATGGACAAGCATCAATTTCATTCAGAAGTGGAAATCGGGAGTATGTGAACAGCGTGGAGTACGAGGAGGAGCAGAGAGAAGTACTACGTGGTAGACTTGAGGGAGGGCAAAATCAACAGCTGGAACAGACAGCGTGAAGTACTAGTGTACAGAGGACAACTTGCTCAAGCAGACGCCCTTGATGCTGAGAGAGCCCAATTTCAATACATGCTAGATGATGTGAATTCGAGAGGAACAACCTCAAGGAAACCCGTAACTTAGAGTAGAAAGAGAGAAGAGGTAGAGTAGTGGTAGAGTGAGCTAGCAGAATGAAAAGTAGCGCTCATTCCACTGAGAAGGAGTGTGAACAATTAGTGTGGTAGGTCAGATTGCATGTCACAGAGTTTTCACTTTGATGCAACCCTTTGTGAGTATCGAGAAAAGGTTCGTACTATATAACACCGATATACTATATGTACATGTCACCCTATCTTTTTTTAATACATACATTAGTGTTACATATGTTTTATTGGTAAAGTGTACATATACGCGTCAAAGCACACTGCTTCATATTTGTTTTGTGTGCCGAAGCAGGACCTCTTGAAGCGAATTGACGGAGTGGCAAACTGCTTGGAGACGAAAGATCTCTACAAATTCGTCTGCGAAAGACGTTCATTTTTCCCTTGTTCGTTGCTCTTTGCGTTTCAGTTCTTGTCAGGTTCGCGCATTTATGCCTTTGTTGCCCCAACCGGGCTTCTCGCTTGAACCAGTAGCAGCTCAAGTCTATCAGGTCTCTGAAATGGAGCGGGAACTGTCAGACGACCTTGCAGCGTCTGAACCTTGCTGGGAGAATTCCTTTGTTAGACAAAGGCAAACCGCAGGAAGAAGACACACAGAAAAGCAATCTGCAAAAGTTGCACTTTGCCCAGGTGTGTAAAGTCTCCTCTTGTGGAGCTGAAACAGGACGGCAAGGCAGTCAGTTTGTGGATTCCGGAGGGAAGCAGTGCAATTGAACACAATTTTCGAGCAGGTTGAGCCGTCAGGTGGGCAGCTCGGAATGTCGTTGTCACTGGTTTTGAAATGCTTGGAGCCTTGCTGCAGCATGATAGGAGATGATGATGACAACGACAGACCAGTCCTCAAGGAAATGCAAGTTACACTGTTTGTTGGGAATTGGACGGAAAAAGTGGCTCCAAAAGCAATGAGGCACACTGGATTGGATCGACAAGCAGATCCGTACAATCGAAAGCCGAAGAGAGGCTTGTGAATCAAGGCAGGTTATGTCAGTGTTGCGATTCTGTGCTCAAGATGCAGTTCTTTGGTCAAGAATCAAGAAATGTTTCGCCCACTTGATTTGAGGGAGATAGAACACAAAAGATCTTTTGACAGAGATCTAGAATCTAGATTCAATGCTCTCAAGGCAAGCGCACCTTTCTGACTTGCGACGTTTGGTCACAGGTCAGGAGCGTTGGGAACTCAGAGAGATGCTTACGAAGCATTTGTTGAAATTTTGTTGTATGTTGTATGTCTCTTTTCTTTAAGTTGCACCCTTCCTGTGCGCGGTCAACAATTCCATGTTTAAAGTAGTTGCAAGTTTGGCCAATTGTTGCTATTCGTAAAACGAGATTCCACAGCAGAGTGAAGGACGGCAGTGTGCAGCAGTAGTGACCAGGCCGTCGGAATTTTTCTCGAGATGACGGCCAGGGACCTTATCAATGCTCCAATTGGCTCTCGGGAACATGAAAGACTAATGAAAGACATGTTTGTACTACCTCCAGGTCTGCTATCGGCAGACGACGAGCATGTGATGATCCCAGACACATTTCTTTCCGCAACCACGATTTGTGAACGCGAGTTAGAGGTACGTGATAGTCCAGCAAGGCGGTTGTCTATTTTGGAGGTGAACCATACCGCTGATCTTACCTTTTTACTTTTTGGCCGTACTTTTCTGCCCAGCAGCATCTCTCGAAAGACATCGGTCATCGGTTGCCTTGGCCTGCCAGGGTGAGCACGAAGAGCTCAAGAAGCAGGCCTCTACAAGCATGGTGGACTGCAGGAAATCAGTATGAAGCGAAACTCCGAAGCTGGGAGTACATAGTTTTAAACATTTTGTATTTCTTGAAAGAACCGACCGCAAGGTCGAAACTGAGCGCGTGGAGCTCCTGAAGGTGACTCAAAAGCCTTGCAAGCTCTGATTTAAGAAAGCATACAGTTAAAGCCCAAAGCTTTCTAGTGACTACAAGCTTCCTTGGGAATCGTGTCACTGGGAATGGTAACAATAACGCTTTCATCCAGCATTCGTGTTTGGACTGGCTTGTTCGTGGATGCGCAGAACCTAAATCATGTGCACAGGTGCGTGCAAACCTGGAGATGGAGTGCGAACGACGTTTGCAGGAGGTACTGTACCATATTAGCATCGAAATCGATAGAAGCCCTTCAAAAGAATGAACGTGCGGATTTGCGCACGGGAGTGTTTGGCCACTACTGTGCATAACGATTGTGCGCTCGGTTCCTTGCGACCTTGGAGTGAGGCACGGTCCTTGGCCGAGTCTGTCCAGGTGGGGAAGGAATGTGCCAAGCGTACTTCTGAAAGGTCAATTTTATGAATTTTTGGTAAACAATGAGTTTTGCGAAGACACTTTTTCCTTTCCTTTCCGAACTCTTTTCAATTTTCAGGAAAGCCAAAAACGTGCTCTCGCCGCCGAACAGGCCGAAAAAGTGGCGCCGGACCTATTTCCTTTGGAGGTGTGTAGGCTGCTAGGAGGTGAGCTTAGCAAGCAAGCCTATTAAGTAAGAGAGGTAAGACTACACTCTGTTGCACTCTTTGCTCAGGTTTCTTTAAGGAAGCTCCACCTGAGGATGGGGGGAAGCTTCCTTGAAGAAGCCCTGATTTGGTTTCTAGAGTCTTTGGAGAAACTTAAGTTTCACAGGCAGCGACACAACGCTCCAAAGATGCTACTGCGGAGATTCAGGGGCTGCAAGAGCGGTTGCGGGAGGCGGAGGCAGGGTCTACGTTTTCTTTTCTTTGGCATTGCCGTGATTACCTGAAGTGCCGGAATCGGAGCCATCTTCAGCAAACTGGGAGGTGACTTTGGCACGCGAAAGGGAACAGTTCAGTCTTGCCCAACAAGCTCAAGCAGCAGCAGGCTTGACGTGGAACCGGTGTGTCGATGCGATATATCCGGAGTATGCGATTGAGTGCTGGCAATGTTGGCATACCGTACAATTTGACAGCTTTCGGCAAATAAGATGCCTTGTGAGTCTAAGTCTCAAGATTCATATCTAGCCTTGCTCATGCCCAATCTTCAGCCCATTCTCTTCCTTTAGATCCACCATGCTGGTTCCGCACTTGTGATGCGTTCCACTCTATTTTCAATACAAGTGCGGACATGCGAATTGATTCCAATGCCTGCCCATCGGAGCCAAGTTGAGTTGGCAGGTGCAGATTTGCGACAGTTGGAGGCAGAAACACAAAGCACGAGAATTCCAATATGTTTTGTCCAATGCAAAAAATGACCTGCGACATGTTGGAAGGCCCTAGCATGCTTGTTGTAGCATGGGAGAGCTGAGATGAAGAGATTTGGTGCCAGGAGAACTCCCGCACTGTGCTTGCAGACTGCCAAGCACTCCAACAAAAGGTTCCAGCCCAGCAAGCTGATGGAATCCAAGCAGGTCTTGTCCTAAAAGCTTCTTTCAGGTTCGTGAACTGGAGCTGGAGCGTTCGGTATTCCTAGAAGTTCAAGCAAAGTCCGAGGACCTCAACCGTTGCATTGCGTGGATTGGGATCATGGGTTGTGAAGATACTTGTATCTTGAGCCAGGTTGCTAATATGATATGTAAAGTTTGCACCTTTGTCGTTTGGAGACATGAAAGAATCCGTGCAGATCCCACCGGACAGGAGGAAAGAAGGTCGCTGGTCTCTCGAATAAGGCAGTTCGAGGCCTTGTCTTTTTGCCTTCACCAAAAAGGATGCACTGGCTTCACGTGGATGCGATGGCTCAATGTCTTTTGTGATGATTTGGAGGAGGAGAAAGCCAGAGAGATTGATGCTCATAGAGAGCAGTGGAGGGAGGCACTTGGATAGATTTGTCACGTCAAGTCGTTGCGTTTTTGCGTGCTCTGTCGGGTGAGAGCCGTTTCTATAACTTGGCGTTTGCAGTTCAGTTGTTCAGCTCACATTGCAAATCGCACGGTCTCTGAATTTATGATGCCAAGCAGAATGCAAAGTTAATGGATGCTAGGGCAATCTCCTTTATTTGTACATCCTGATATGTTCTTCTGCAAGTTGCGAGAATTAGCACTGTGATGAGATGAGTGAGTACAGAAAGTTGCGATCAAAACCTGGGTCACCTGAGGATCAGCATATATACTGTACTCACATCATACTTGCTGATAAGCCAGAAGTTCCAAGGCAACTATAGCCTAGGACTGTCAGCGTAAAGCAAGTTAATCAAAGGGTGACTCACAAGTACATTTCGGAACATCTAGAGTCTAGAAGCTCCTTTTTCACTTTGCATGAGGCAGCCAGCCGGGAATCGCAACAGCTGTCACTTGGGCATGAAATAGGATCGTTTTTTGGCCGTGTCAGATAAAGCCTTGAAATCAGGAAGTCATGTGAAACGTTAAAATGCATCGAAACGTTGGAAAGAACAGCGAACTAGATTCCGTTGATTTTGGCATTCACACAAGGCGCGCGTCGCTGACGGCCACTCACAACAAGCATCTGAAGGTACTCAGCACCAGAACCAAACTGTTTGAGATTATTTTCCGGGCAATTGAAGAGTATTGCAAGAGGATTTTGACCCGTCGAAAGCTTCAAAAGTTGCTTGAAGGGCTTTGTGTTTTCAATGCGCCATCCTTGCAGACGGCTGAGAAGCAGGGCGAGATTCGGGTGTCTGAAGCCCAAGCATCTTTGCTCAAGGAGCTGGAAGATTGGAAGGAGCAATGCTCCAGGTGAGCAGAGCTTGCAGCGATCTTGTTTCTGTTTGTTCTGTTTTTCCTAAAACATTTTCGACCTGAAGATTTTGTGGATTTTTGCACGGGGGAAGTGCAGGAAGTTGAACCTCAAGAAGTGCAAGTGGGAAAGAGAAAGACATTGATCGTTTGCGACAGGTTACAAGCAGAAAAAGATACCAACCTTGCTGCGGAAGCACGCTCCAAGGCAGTGCGATCATGTTTCAAGGAACTGTCTGGAGAAGAATGACTCCGCTCCGCGCTTAGGAGCAATTTCAACGACAGCACCAAGCAGTGCTGCAAGACATGGAGAAACTCAAGTCTGACCAAGCTGAGCTCTCCAAGGCACGTTCTGGTTATGAAAGTGAGTATTTTCAGGTTGTTGTCCCCATTTATGTATTCAAGGGATCGTTTGAGGCAAAGGAAGCCTAAACATTCTCCAAGACTGCCCCAAAGTATTCAAGTATATAGTTATATATATATATATGTTCAGCCAAGCAGAACAGAAGTATCATGAATGAAAAGCACCACTGACCACTGAGTGCTCACCCGTTGTGTGGGAAAACGCGTATGCTTACTCCGCAATGTGTCTAGTCTAGTGTTGGACAAGTGTTGTAGCTTTAACGCCGGACGAGTCCACTGCTGTTTTACTCTGACATGCCCAGCACACAGTTGGGTTGAAGTAATGGTTTCGCTTTTTTTTTCTGTATTTTTTTAAGTGTTTTTCCTGCTTGCTTCATTAAGGATGGAAGAGGTGGCTTGCGTAGGATTGAGAGGCGCCTGTACCCTTTTTTTGGGTCGTCAGTCCAGAATGGCTTTGTGGTCAGCAATGCCTGCGGATGCCTGCTGATAGCACACATATGGTCCATCAAGCTACAGAGTCTCTTTTCACATGAAAAAGCCGCATCCATGGAATGTGCCGTCTGTGAGGTGTTGACATACATGCTGGCTTCATGCGCAGGAGGTCTAGATGTTAGCTGCGTCGGCGTTTGAAGCTTGGCCTCGTTGCCTTGCACCTGTGCGTCTGGATGACTGAGCCAGTGCAATTCCACTCCACGAACCATATCCGCTACGATACGTACCCACAGCCACAAGAAGCAGCGGGCTAAGTACCTACACAAAGTTCAGTGGGGCCAGCATGACAACGCAGGAGAGCCTACACTAGTATTCACAATTCACTGCGAAACAACGAAACGTGTATCGTACTTGTCGCTACTGCTCTGTCAAACCAAGAGCAGCAAGTCGGTTTGGTGGTGTCTCCTTGGGACCTTTTGAGGGGTTGTTCAATTGTCAGCTTGTTTTGGATGCAGCTAACCGTATGAAAAAGCTATATATATATGTATAGAGTTCTAAGGGAACCTCAGTTCAAAAGTATGGAAAAGGATTGATTGGAATCAAGGTATCAAGGTAGAATGCTCCAGGATTGCCCGCTCTTTGTCTCTTTGGAGTCATGGTTGTGTTGGTGATATAAAGCAAGGACTTGAGACGTACCAAGACAACTGCAGCTGCAGCCTATTCACGGGATTGATGGGGCCTGTTTTCCATGGATTTCGAGCAGACGACATGCTCGCAATTGACACCAAACTTCATTGTGTATATAAGTTATCAGATGTGATTCCAGCTAGTGTGATTTGAAGCTTCAGTACCCCCCAAAAAACATAGAACTATATATAAATATATTACATAAGTCTGACTTTCAACAAGCAATCTTTGACTCTCGGTTCATTTCTCACAAAATGATCCACAAGATCCCAAGGTTCCACGTAGTCGCTCGGCCAAAAATGACATCGAAGTAGAATTTGCGAACATGTTGAATGACTGTGCCGGTACGTGCAACTGGGCAAAGCTATTCCATTACCACTAAAAATGGACGCTTGAATTGTTCAGCGCCATTCTTAGGTCTAAACTAGTCTGCTGTCTTGAATGCCACGGATGATGGCCCACCACATTCATTTGCCAAAAGCCAACAAACACTCGCATGTGCCAGCATACAAAGGCAACACAAGTGTAAATTTGAACGGTTTGGTAACACAATGCACAATCGACATGTGGCCCACCTTGTCACATCCGATGGTTCAAGTCACTCCCAAAATCGCCAGTATCACCTCAAAGTCTCCTCACTCTGACCAAGGACGCCTTCAGACCTTTTGCGATACTCACTCTGATACTCCTGGCCTGGCCTTGTTTCATGTGGTTTCATTTGCTGTGATGTTTTCACCTGGCTTCTGGCTATTGCTGTGGAGTCTTTGTGTTTCCTCAGAACCACTTGCTTGAACTTTGGCAAGATTCTTAACCTGACCATTCAAGTCTAAAACCCGTGTAGAGTAAACAGTGTTTACTCACCTGACTCTACTACCTGTTTGTAAAGCCTGTCAGGATCAAGAAGCGGAAAAGAGAGCGCGGCAGCTGGCCGAGCAGAAACATGCGGAAGCTTTGCAGGCTTTGTCTCTTTCTTGTTTGAAGGTCGAAAGTTCCTGAGCTTTTGGAAGCGTTTGAGTGTGAGGATATGGAAAGACTGAAAGCAGACCAAGAAAAGCTGCAATCGGTGGAGATGGCGAGTTTAAGCCTTTGTCAATCTGACTTGAATGTTTCAAGCATCTAGGACAAGATGCAGGAGCAGGCTGCGAGAAGGAAGGCGCGTTCTTATTGGAGATTGACGCAGCCAAACTAAACGACATACCTTGATGGATGTCGCATAGTGGTGCCATGATTTAGTGATTTCACTTAGGTTGAGCAGGAACATCAAGCAGTCTTGCAAGACATGGAACGTGTTCGCATGAAGCCTAGATATGTAGCACAGTTGTGCTTGAGTGGCAGGATGGACGAATTGGCCTCAAACAGGGCTGGACCTTTTGGTAGACCTTCTTAGAAACTTGGAACCACACAGAGCTGGAGAGCTCAGGTTAATCTTCATGTACAACTGGTAGCCGAGTCAACAGTAAAATGAGCAAGCAAGAAGGGCTGTGAGAGCCACTCCGATCAACAGCTGACAGGAACTGACAGCTTCAGAGTGTAAGAGTGCATTTCGAAGGTTCTCAAGCAGCTTCAGAGTCTCTGAGTCTCTTCCATTATACAAGCTATAGATGATAAACTCAAGACTGATCATCTATGCCTCGTGCATCAACCCATTTCGCCTAGCTTCCCTAAAAGCCTAGGAACCATTGCCACCCTTCGGCGTCCTTGCATGTAGTAGGTCCTATGCTAGAACCTTAAACTGATAGCTATGGCCGGAAGACGAGAAAAGCTCATATACTTTATACCCCTTGAGCAGAAGGCCCAGGGCCTCAGCCATCAGTTCCAGGCGACTACCCAAGGTATCTAAGATCCACCCAAGGTAGCTATTACATCCTATTACCCACGGTGCCAACTTCAGATCGAGCTGTCGTTCGCACGGGAGGATCCAATTTGCGCTTCGCAAAGCAGCAGCTTCAACGTTCCCAGTTCTAACAGTTCCAGGGATCTAGGGGATCTAGGATGCACATCCAGGTTCCACATATGATTCCAAGTGGCTCAAGGTTTGACTGGCCACAAGCCGTACGTTTTTGTGTAAGACAAGACAGAACACTTAAAGACGTTTGCTTGATGGAGTTCCATTTGAGCGGTCGAGGTGCAGACCATCAGCGAATCACACAGGAAAAAGAGGAAGAAGCACGGCTTCGTGCCTTGGAAGCAAGATCAGCAGCGCTAAGAAAAGGACATCACTCTTCAAGACAGCGGTTTAGCGACAACGAGGTCAAGAAGCTCAGCGCAAGCATGCAGAAGTCCAAAAAGACATGAACAAAGTAAAGGAAGATCAACGAAGGAGCGGCAAGTTTATCACGCCTGTTACTTGTTCTTTGATCCAGAGCTCAGATGGATGCCAGGCTTCAGACTGACAAGGACGCGGAAGAGCGAGCAAAACTGGAGGCATCTCGACGTGAAGGTAAGAAACACCTGCTTTGATGAGCACTTGTGAGACTGGACTTACTTGGTCGCACTTTGTCGTAGTCATGCTGTGCGCATTTTTTTTGAGTCTCACTACCGTGACCAGCCAAGGTGCAGCGCTTGCACCAGGCTTGGAAGCATTTTTTCTTAACAATGCCGTTCTTTGTTGCAATGGGTCACAAGTCTCAGGCGGTCTTAGATGAGAAAAACTCGCTGCATGGGGATCACGGCCACTTGCAGGCAGGTTTGACAGTGACACTGACCGTCGACTGACAGGTACTGTCAGCAAACAGATATTCACACCAACACATTAGACTTCCAGACATGAACTAGACATGAGACAGACACTCTTCAGATCCAATCCTTTTTGGATTAGTATTAGTATTCATCTTGGTGGCTACTTGCACTGACATTTATGTGCAATTTGCAGGAGCTTTTGAGTGCTGAGCAGAAAGCCAAGGAGGAGGTGCAGAGGAAACATGCACAGGTGCGTCTCACAGATAAACGGACAGAGCTCTTGAATTTGCGATTGAGCGTCTCAATGAATTTGCTCTCGTCTGAGGTGGAAAATGACAGGCAGTGCCTTGGCCGCAGTTCTGGCATTGAACATATATTGTCATGTGCGAATTCACAAACAAACATGGCAGGAGAATGGAAAAAGACAAAGCTGAACTTCAAAATGCCAAGGCAATGTAAAGGAGGTCTTCTAAGGACGCTATTAGGTAGAGGCCATCGCAAGTAGGTTGGAGGCCATCGCTACTAGTAACAAGAAGCTACTAGTAGTAATAATGGCCTCCACCCTAGTAGCGATGGCCTCCACCTAGTAGGATCCTTGCTACTAGTAGCAAGAAGCCACTATGTTCTCTTAGGGTCCAAGGCCTCAGAAGAGGATTGGAGACTTACATCGCTTCAGGCAAGGGAAGAGCAGTTGCGGATGGAGGCGGAGCGAAAGCATCAGCAGTTGACCGCAGACATGGAAAAGCTCCGCAACCCGGCGAGCTTAGCCTATACTTTCATAATGGCAACTTAGTAACATGTTTCTTCACTTCGGATCCGGATTTCACCCAGGACAAGACCAAGCAAAGCTTCAAGCTGACAAAGAAGATGAGAAAAGAGCCAAAGACGAGGCGAAGCCACGTGTGGCCTGAAGTACATTGTGGAAGCTATCCTATCTTGACCTATGAGTCGACCACGACTCCAGGCAGAGAGAAAGCATGCCGCAGTGCTTCGAGACATGCAGCAACTCCAAGCAGACCAAAACAAACTCCAGGTGCGGCTGTAGGGCGACTAGTAGCGACGAGCGGCAGAGTTTTGTAGGTAAAACACTGCCGGCGGTGCCCCTTGTGTTTTTTGTCACGGGCATGTTTGGTGTGTCAGATTGGTCAGGCGGACCATGCTGCAGAAAAGAGAGCAAAGGAAGAGGCACCTTATGCTGTTGCTTGTGTTCTATTTCTTCTTCTTCTTCTTCCTCCTCCTCCTCCTCCAGCTCTACAGCTCTACAGCTCTATACCACATGTGCAGGCTGAGAAGAAACATCAAGAGGTCTTGGAAGATCGCGATAGAATTTCCGGCGATATGCGGCAATTGCAAAATGACAAGGATTTTGATGCGTGTGTGCGCATCATGAGCACCTGCATGAATGGGTTTGAGTGTGTTTGGCTTGGCAGGATGCTGAACAGCGGGCAAAGCAGGAGATGGAACGAAAGCACGAGGCGGTTGACGTTAGCAACGCACCCGACCAGCACTTGAGCTTGTTTGCGGATGTACGAAGTGTAGGCTGCCCTGAAGCAGCTGGAGCTGGTTAATGCAGACCAAGCCAAGCTGAAGCTGGACAAGGAGATAGTGCTGGTCTCCCTGCGATTTACGTCTGGTCATGTTCAGTCACACAGCAAGCCTGTCATGACAGTTGTGTGCGTTCCGAGTCGGTCTTAGTAACGCCTAAATCAGATACGTTCTTTTACGTCCTTGTGCTTCATCAATCTAAGGAGTCACAAACTGTTTGTTTGTCATTTGTCTGTGAGACTTGGTGGTGCAACGCTCACTCCACAGGGTGCCTTGCTGCTGTCTTTTTCCTCACTCTCCACCTCGGGCCTGCTTGCCAAGGTGGGCAAGTTGCTCCTCAGCAACTTGCAAGCTTCTGCGGGCATCATTGGACAAGCGAGTGGGGCAAAACGAGGAAACTTACTAAGGCAAGACAAGTCTTGACTGTTGTGTCCCAGAGTTTGCTTTGTCAGCGAGGTGTTCGCATGCTGGCAGTTGAGCTTTGGAAGGTGGCTGGGATTTGGTTGAAGGCAGCGCTGGCATGGCCAATCAAGGGAAGGCGGGTACAGGTAGTGGACTTCAACAATGAGATCCTCCGCTGCCGGTGACAGATCCCCAAAACTCAACTTCTTCGAGGATTACCCGACAGCCGACAGCCTCAACATTTGCCTTTAGTTCTGGCTTGGGCGGAGGATGATTATCCCAGCTGGGTGCACTTTTGCAGTGTTTGAAACGAGCAAATTACAAAGCAAGCAACTCTTCCATTCAGGGTCCGTGTGTGGGACGCAGCTTCTCAAGGTCAAGCTCCAAGGTCAAAAGTGTCGACTTCAGCCTCATCGCTCCTGTTTTTGCCAAAGGACTTTTGGGCACCCTCCTCCAGGGGCCCCATTCTGTTTGAGTAGTCGGCAGACGTTCAAGGTTCCACACAAGGCACAGGTATCGCCATAAATACCTGGAAAGGCCTGTGTGCCCAGAGCACAAGGGACAACATTGCACCCGAGAACAAGAGAAAAAATAAGCTGAAGAAGTTCGAGCTCAGTTCGGTGATGTCGCGGACCTCGCAAGCAACGATTGCGACTTGCCAGCCCCTATGATGAAACGGCTCGTATGGTTGAGGCTTGGTGCAAGCAAGGCTCTTGGGCCAATTGCACGAAGTGTCATTCGGCCACAAAACCTCGAGCCGATGGACCTGAAACGCGTGAGAAAGGCCGTCATGACGCCCAAGCAGTGCACGGCTTGCAGCGAGGAGTACGTGCCTGCGTTGGAAGATGTCCCGCCAGCGCGCGCCCTCGACGCACTAGCGCGGGCAAAGGAAGCTGGTCTGCGGAATAGAACGTGGAGGTCCGTGCCACGACAGCTAGGGCCAGCTATCCAAATGTTGTTCTTGCTTTGGCAAGGGAGGGAAGCCTGGTTTTTGATTAGGCCCCCCAAGCTGGCTGTTGCGATTATATAACTATTTTTGCTTTATTGAACTAGGATTATATTGCCCCAGCTTTGGTTGCCACCTTTCCTACAAGTTCTGCAAAAGTTCTGAAGTATGCCGAGCTGGGCATAGCTGGTACGGGTACACCCTCTTACATGCAGAAGAGGATGGGGCGAGCAAGATGGTTGGGTCAGCCTGAGCCATCTGTGGCGCGAGAGGTTGTTTCAAGATGTAATGTATGCAGGTATATCTATATATATATACATAGCACACACACTCACACTAGATAATAATGTACCGTATACAGATATATACACAAATCTTGTAAGGGCTTCGCCCTGGTGCCGCCGACCCCTTTTTTTAGGAAGGACCTGCAGTGAAAGCTTAATGTAGAAACGAGGAGCAAGAACTGGTGTCGCAGCGGAGGGTTTCCGGGCGGGCAAACGACACCATCTATTTCTGCCCACAAAAGCGGTCGGAAGGGGGGTGTGCCCACTGCCTAACGTCGCTTTCGAAGCCCTAAAGAAAAAGAGGCTAGGCCAGCACCAGGCTCGGACTGAGGCGGGATGTCCACGCAGGGCTCCAGTCCAGGGAAAGGCCTGCGGGCTGGTGTCGCAGCGGAGGGTTCCGGGCGGGCAAATGTCACCATCTACTTCTGCCCACAAGAGCGGTCAGAACGGGGGGCCCACTGCCTAACGTTGCTTTCGAAGCCCTGTAGAAAAGAGGTGCCAGGTGATGGCAGCCCGCTCTCCATAGCTCCAGAAACAGCTCCCGAGACTCAATCCCCATGCTCCGGCAATCTGGTTGCCTGGCATGTGTGCCAGAGGCTCACTCCCAAGGCGCCCGGCAATTTCCTCCGCCACAGCTTTCCACCATCTAGTTCCACACCAAAAACGGGCGAGCCGCAGCCAGAAAATGCCTAACGTTGCCTGGCGCGTTGCCTGGCGCGTCGCCGGGCACGTTGCCTGGCACGTTGCCTGGCATGCTGCCTGGCATGTCGCCTTCGAGAACCCATAAAACAGTTGTTGCCTGGCACGTTCTAGAGGCTCACTCCCAAGGCTCCAGTCCAGGGAGAGGGCGTTGGGAAACGTTGCCTGGCACGTTGCCTGGCACGTCGCCTTCGGGACAGTTGCCTGGCATGTGCCAGGCAACTGTATACGCAGTTTTGCTGGCTGTGGCTCCCCCGTTTTGGGTGTGGAATTAGATGGTGGAAAGCTGTGGCGGAGGAAGTTGCCGGGTGCCTTGGGAGTGAGCCTCTGGCATGTGCCGCGCGCAACTGTGTTATGGGCTCCCGAAGGCAACGTGCCGCAGTTTCGCTGGCTGCGGCTCCCGTTTTTGGTGTGGAATTAGATTCTGGAAAGGTGTGGCGGAGGAAATGCCGGGAGCCAAGGGGCCCGGCAATTTCCTCCGCCACAGCTTTCCGCCATCTAATTCCACCTGGCGCGTTGCCTGGCACGTCGCCTTCGGGAGCCCATAAAACAGTCGCCTGGCACGTTCCAGAGGCTCACTATAGGGAAAGGCTTGCGGGCTGGTGTCGCAGCGGAGGGTTTCCGGCCGGGCAAACGACACCATCTATTTCTACACCAAAAAGAGGCGTGCCGCAGACAGCCAGAATGCCTAACGTTGCCTGGCAAGTCGTCTTCGGGAGCCCATAAAACATTTGCCTGGCACGTTCCAGAAGATCGCTCCCAAGGCTCCCGGCAATCTGTGTCGCCACGCCTTTCCACCATTTAATTCCACACCAAAAAGGGGCGAGCCGCAGCCAAAATGCCTAACGTTGCTTGGCACATTGCCTGGCACGTTGCCTGGCGCGTTGGAAACGGCACCTTCGCCACAACCACGCACTCTGGATCTGCTTGGCAGAAAACGGCGGCTTCGCCACGGCGAAACGCTCTGGATCTGCTTGGCCTGGGAAACTGTTTCACCTTGCGGTGACCCCGGCGCCGCCCCGCCTAGGCGTTAGCTAGGCAGGGGTCGGCGGATATTTATGTCTATATATATATATGTATACATATCCATTGTCTTGAGCCACCCTGGAAAGCGGCCCGAGCGAGAAAAAATTGGAAACTCATTTTTCGGATGCTACTGTTTAGAGATCACTTACCTGACGAAAGTTATGAGCAAGAGTTTGGGATGCGTGCCCTCCGGCGTTTTTTGCAGCGCAGCTCCACTTTTGTGGATCGTCGAAATAAAAAGGATATTGGCGAGTTAAACTTCTTGGACATATTTTACGAAGCGACAACAATGATCCTATGAGACAAGTTTCCTTTTTACCAGATTCTGCACAGAGAGCTGACTGCGACACCAAGCGAGTTGGGACACCTCGTCAAAATTGGCTGCGTCATACCAAAAAGCATGTGTACGAACATGCTTTAAGGCATTATGATTACAGTGAGACACAAGTGCATGATCAAAAGATTATTTGAAGCAGCTTTAAGCAAACAATTTTGGAAATCAGTCTCCTGCTGCGCCAACGCCTAGCTGCACAGTCGTCGAACTCTAGTCGATGCGAGGTATGGCTGGAGAATAAATAAGTAAATAACTAATTAAATATATATATATATACATATACGCATACATATCCATTATATCTATGTATCCATACACATGCATATATATATATGTACAGTACATTGTTTTTGTTTATTTGTTTTGAACTTTATTTCTGTGATTCTTCATTCTATGCCCCTCTGCTTGCGCACTGGACTCGAAGGGAACTTTGCCGGGCCGTGTTTGCCTCCTTGCCGCGAGTTCGATGATTCGCAGGACTCAGAGTTGCAGGCTCGATTGGATATGGAAGCCAAGCACCAGGTCAGAGGGAAGTTGTTCTTTCAATGGACTTTTTGAACCATTTTGGAATTTCTCTGCTGGTGAGGCCCTCCTGCAGGATTTGGAGCAGGTTCGCTACGAAAAGGATCAGTTGCATGGTCAACACCAGGGATCCCGGACGCAGCTGGTTTCGGCCTCATGTGGCAAGGAATAGTTGAAACAGAGAGTGTTCACACTCAAGCTGGCCTAAGGAATCCGTCCAGTCTGAACTGAATGCTTTGCAGGCGCTTCTCCGATACTTAGTGGACTGGTGAAGCAGATTTGAACGGTCAAGAGAGCCAAAAGAACTTTAAAGTGTTGTCGCAGAGAAACATACTTGGGCTTTCCCCCGCATCTTGCCAGACGGAACACAAGAAGATCCAGGCGGAACGAGACAGGCACCTGACGACACCAAGAGTTGAACGAAACCGGATCACCCGGTGAGTTCATCCGGATCATGTTTCTGCTTTCAATTGTTTTCCTGAGGCTTCGCACAGCACACGAAGCTGAATTGAAGCACACTAAGGCCCTAACAAATAGGAACGCAGTGAAATGGAACAAGCAAACAACATGAAAAAAAGAACAGCAACTATAGAAACCCACAGGCTAAAGGCCAACAGGCTGAAGTTTGAGTTGCAGGAGCAAGGCCACCAACTCAAGTCGGAATGGGAAGGACGAAATCAGGCGCAGATCCGTTTGATTACGTTATTGGAAATGTGTTTTGCCACCTTCCTGCATGCTTTTTTGCTTCGAGATTCTTCCTTGGCCTGTCCTTCCTTCTTGCGCGTCCTTTCTTTATGTGCTTCCTTCTGCTGACAGATGATAACACCCAAATTTTCCTGACAACTTAAAGACAGGACCTTGACAATGATCAGGTCAGCTGTTTCTGTGGATGCCTCCTAACTACCAAGCTGCATGCGCTGCGAGCGTGTGTATTTTCCAGTGTTACTTACGCAGAGGAAAATCTAAACATTTTAAAGTCAATACGATATTCTAAAAAAGTAAAGCAAAGTTGAGCATTCATTCATTGAAGACGCGCTGTAATACAAAAATAAAGTCTCATAGAATAGACAGCAGCACTGTGAGCGTATGCAATTCATGTGGCAAAGTTTCTCTACTGGACACCTAAAAATAAATGATTTTACTGGAAAATACACACGCTCGCAGCGCTGCCCTCTCAACATCATCAGCCCAAGCAAGTGGACTCAAGGTTTTCTAGACTTAGCACCTTCAGTGTTCAGTTCTGAATATATATATATATGTATATATTACGAAAGCCAGCCGATAGGCTAGGCTTGAGCTTTTAGAGCGAACGAAGTAAGTTAAGGGGGTGTGGGGGGGGGAGGTCGCGAAAAGGCACAATTTGAGAGGGCGAACCCGGAGCAGCGCTCCAAAGCGAGGGTCAGAAAAGCAGTGAAAATGGGGTCTGGTGATGCGAGTGATGCAATGGACGCTGAGTAGTGCATCATTAATCAGGAAGGGCTTCGGAGGCTATTTGGACAGTGGGCATTGAGCAATCGAGTGGAGACAGGGACCCACGTACAGAGCAGACCGCCGCCGCATGTAGGATTTGAGTTCCCAGGACAACCTGTAACTTGCGAAGTCATAGAGAACCGAAAGTGACACGAGTTCAAGTCCATGAACTTGGACTGAGTTTCGGTGGGGGTGCCTGCGAGGTTGACTACATATCCGCATAGTGTTCCTGCCCCCTAGCAAAAACTATACTTGCACCATGTCCTCAGTCGAGTGGATGCTTCTCGCGGCGTCCACACGCGCCGAACGTAACGTTTTTTCCGGCTTGCCGGTACAGATAGATACATACAGAGATAGATAGAGATAGAGATAGAGATAGAGATAGAGATAGATAGAGAGAGAGAGAGAGATAGATAGAGAGAGAGAGATTTTTGCTGGCAGCCCTGGACGAATCCAGTCAGCGTGGGTCCACGGCCCAAAGATCTACACACGCAGGTGCCAAAGTCAAGGCCTCTGAGCGAGAGAAGCGCAGAGTTGATAAGAAAGAGAAGAATAAAGAAGGTGTTTGGATCGTTTAATAAAGGGCACTTTAAAAGAAAAAGGCTGTGTTTTGGATCGAGCCAGGACATGACTCACTCAAGTCCAGGCATGTGCATCGATAGGCACACAAATCCTCACTCCTTTGCTAGCCCAAGCTACCTCCGCGCGACCTCCCCTTCTGCGCCGCGGGATCAAACGTCCGTGTCCCGCTAAGACGCGCCCGTTCACTCTTCCAAATCAACGAATGCCGCTTTTTTCGACGCGCCTCAGTATGCATTGCACTCCAAATGTAACAAACACACGCTTGCTTCTTTTCAACCCCACGCCATACAGGCGCGCGGCGACGGTGACTACGGCACGCGCGGGTGGTATCCCACCACTCAAACTTAGATTGTATTTCCCCATCGCTAACGCTGATGTCGCCTTCCAACTTTGTGTGACAAACACATGCCATTGCCTTGTGATGATGACCCACACCAACATACAACATATCGCACTTCTCTTTCACTACTTCTTTCATACCAAACTTATCCCAAAGCCGCCCGGCTTGCTTCTCTGCTCCCTCCATCACCATTACATACGCCCCCCCGCGTCCGCAGCACCGCTGACTCGCAAGCTGCCGACCATGTGTCTTGTGCCGCGACGCCCGCCACAAAAAGAGACACTCGTCTGGCGGCTGCTGGCTTTCGTCCCCCCCTTCTCAGGTATATGTATATATATATAAACTGTCCTTTTGCAGTCGTGCCTTTTGATTGTTGACATTTTTGATGTTGTGCCAGACACTGTTGCAAGAGCTTGATCAGCTGCGAGCAGAGCTCAGAAGGGCACAACAAGAGAAGGATGATGAACGAAGAGCGAAAGACCGTACCCAAGCTGATCTCGATCTAGCAAGTCGTCAGGCTGCCTTGAGCCCAGGATATGATGGCAGACATATGTTTTGCAAGTGCTTGTTCTGACATCCTGGCAGACAAGGAATCACTTCAAGGACAACTTCAGACTTTCCAGGCCTGGTAGTTGCATTAACGTGTTGTAATGTGCACACTGCCACACTGCTTGCAACGTGTTGTATTGCCCTTTTGGTGGGTTAATTTTGTGATTTTTTCTGCTAGATTTCCCTCAGGTAAGACGGAGCAGTGACCTTGGTTCCTTGGAAGATGCCCAGAGCAGGCTTCAGAGAAACAACAAATCAAGACGTGCGTTTTTTTTGCGTGAAACTCCAGGCTGCGGAGCTTGCAGTCCGAGAATGAGATGTTGACATCAGATGTGAACACCCTTAAGTAAGGCCCTTAAGTGCTTCGGCCCAACACGCTCAGAGAATCGCTTTTACAGAAGCAATGCTGCTTTGATTTGCTTTGATTTGCTTTTCAGTATTTTTGTCAAGTCGAAACAGTCAGGAAATCAAAACATGAGAAAGATGAAGCAGAGAAGGACTTGCGGGAAGCTTTGAACACTCAGTGCCTTGGACCGTGGAGTTCTCAACATCGCTTTGAAAGGAGAATTCGTCGGTTCTCGTCCTAGCTAGGAGCTTCCTATTGCTAGTAGCCAACTACTCCCTTGTTGACTCAAGTAGGCACCTACTTCATTAAGTAAGGAGGCAGGGCCACTCGGGCTAATAAATTTATAAGTTCGGTCTTTCAGTCTGAGATTAGTCCGAGCACAAAGTGTGACACGCTCTAGTTTTTTGGGGAAACTAAAGAGTGGCTGGTAAATGCAATCCATCCAAATGTGCATTCGTCACCTTTGATGGTCGGAGGCGTGATGAATTGAGAGAACTGCAGAGACAGCTCGCAGAGCGAGAGCAACAGGCAACGCTGGTAGCAGAGTACGATCGTGTTATGCGTTACAAGATAAAGGAGCCGCTGTTTCTTTTTTTCCTCCCTCTCTCTATATATATATATACATACAGAGTCGCCGTCTTGCAACTGTCGAACTTTCTTCTTTGACATCGGAACCTCATCCTCCAGAACAAATCCGAAGGTGTTCTTGCACATAGTTCACTCTCGAGGTGAAACAGTTTGAAGAAAAGCGGAAGGCTCAAGAAGAAAAGCTGTCACAGTACCGGGCCAAGAGGGTTTAATGCAAGGACACAGAATTGTGAATATTTCTTTCGCTTCAAATCTTCTTACGTTTCTGTTCCACGATATCCCCCTGGCATTGTCATTCGTAAATTGTAAGGCTATTGTTCCAACTCGAGGCAGAGAAAAAGGACACAGCTCAATTGTTTAGTTTTTAACTTTTCAACTTAAAGCAACATGAAAAGTCCTTTCACTTGTATGTACACTATATATATATAAACGGAGTTGTGTTGCCCCAGGCGGGCCCTTACCTGAGTTTCAGGAGGGAGAGGAATTGCGGCGTGAACTGCTGGAGGCTATGCATGGTAAGACACTTCAAGCGGAATGTTATGAAAAAACAACTCATTGACAAGTGTTTGCTTTGCTGCCAAACAAAAGCGTTTATAAGATTCTAAAGGTTTTGATTTGACTGCTTTTATCAAGGCAGCTCGTGGTGTCTTGGAGTTGGAGTGCGAGCCAACGAGAGAACTGAACTGTGAGGCCCAAGACAGCGGACGACAGCTGCAGAGGAATGCTGAGGAGTTTGGAGATTCTGCGATCGAACCCAAAAGAGCTGAACCGCTGGAAGGGAGGGAGGAGTGCTTGAGCGACATTTTTCAGGATGCCTTGGAGCGAATGAGTGCCTTGCAGAAGGAAAACGAGGAGATGTTGGAAAGCACGAAGCACGAACGCAAACCAAATGATTCAGCAACGCGACAGTTCAACGCTTCTTCAACGCTTGAAGAATCTTTTGAAGTTGGAGAATATGGACTTTGCCCGCAAGGAGCTGAAAGCACGTGGAAGTGACGAAGCCCTCAAACGGCGCATGACGAAGTGCCTTGAGAAAGAAGGAGGTTTGAGGCATTTTGAGGCGGTTTGAGGTGTCGATGTGGAGTATGTGAATCATCGAGTCAAATGAGTGAACTCTCAAACTTCAAAGTCTGGTATAGTCTTGTAGAAACAAGTACATCGCTACTAGTAACAAGTGCCTTACTAGTAGTAACAAGAAGCTAGTAGAAGCTTGAATTGGGGCATGAATCCGATCGGCTCTGGTGGCAGCACCACTGAGGCGCGTGTCTCTTTGGGCAGTGTCCATCCCTTGATTTCAAAGGTTTCAAGTTTCACGCAAGAGCAAAAAGCTACTAGGGGCTCCTGGCCTTACTACTAGTACTTTTGGAAGTCAGCCAAGCGTCGACAGTTGTGCGAAGCCGCTCGATTTGAATGGAGAGACTTCCACCAGAGTGCGGCAATTTGCGAGCCTGAATTTGTTTTCATCCAAGGCCTCCTGTGCTTGGAGTCGAGGACATTGGTTCTTGGGAGCAGCTTGCTCTTTGCAGTTTGACTGCAGTGCATAGTAAAGCCTAATTCTGTGAAGGAGGATGAGGAGCTGCTTCCGAGCTCTTCAGATGAGTTCATTGTACAGGCCAGGCCTGGAGTTTTTTGCTCAATGAATCTTGGACGTTGGTCATACTGCTGAACCTTTGTTCGCTTCGTAAACGCTCTATGCCAAGGTTCGTGAGGCCCATAAGGGAGTGGAAACCCTCATGCAGAGTGCAGCAGAGGTCGAATCATGGGACTCCGTGGGACCATTTTGCTTCACAAAAGCACATTGTTTTACTCCACCAAGGCAATGAAAGACAAAGCACCGTGAGGATTGTCCATGCAGTAAGTGTTTCCATTGCCAGGTCCATATTAAGACCATCCTGGCAGAGATAGATGGAGCTGCAGCATCAGAGAGAAAGGTGGGATGAAGCTGAAGAAGTCGTGGCTCTTTCGTTCAGTGCCAGGGGACAGGCATCCTACGAGGTTTGTCTGATTACGAGAAAAAGTATGAGATTCAGTCAGAGCGTGGAGCTCAACCTGTACCGTTGACTCAAGTGAAAAGCAAGCTCACTGAAGTGTTGGGTTGAAACAGTGTGAAGAAGTTGAACTGAAAAGAAGAGGAAAGAAGAGCACAGTTTTGAAAAGAACATAAACAAGTTCTGAAAGAAATTGAGGGGCCTTACCTTCCCTTTGTCCCAAAACCTAGGAACCAAATGAATAGTGTGAGCTCTTCTTCAAAGAAGCTCTCCCCCCGAGCCCTATTCCTTGAAGAAGCGTCAGCAATCCTGCGTCCTACCTAGGAGCGTCCTACTTAATAGCTACTATAGCTTACTACTTCTTAGGGCCTTCACCCCCACCGTTTTTTTTCTTTCGCATAAGCCGAAGACGTCTGTCTGTGCCTGCCATGCAGACGTTGCTAATTAGGTCGGTTCGACCCACAGTAGTCCATTCCCATGCCGGCTTCATGATCAAATTCACTAGTGAGTTCGTCGCAAACACTAGTGAACCATTCAGGCACAGGGATGCCATCTGTGGGCGGGGGCTGACTTCTCACGAAGATTTCTCCCAGCACTGAACACAGTGCCGCCGGATACTCCTTGAGATGAGCAGTACGCCAAGCCCCCTTCTCATTCAGACCGATGGACGTTGCCTTTGGCAATTCAGAGCATCGGCCAGCCACAGACAATTGCTCAGCTTCGCACAAACATTGACTAGCATGAACTCCGTGGGTTTAGGGGATGTCGCATTGAAGTGCCCTTGTAGCATCCTGACCCTCTTACAAACCGGAAAACGGAGGAGCAGCTTGAAATGGCTAACTTCCAGATTGATGGTTGAGTCAAATCCTGCGTATCTTCCGCAGGGTGTTCGAGAACCGCAGTTTTGCATGTCAAAACTGCGAGAAAAAGCATTTTCACAGCAGCCCCCAGCAAGCGGCTCCCGAAGCGAACTTGCCTGTCTTCCTTGGCCGTGAGATCCAGTCTTCCGGTGGGCCTGCAAGTCTGTCGAACAGAACTCTCGGTCCTGCTGCCTGCCCTTCCGGAACTCTCCCTCGTGCCCGAGACCATGTTTCCCAAGGGGGTCCTCCGAGGAACCCCCAAATCACGTCCTCAAAAAAGGCCCTACGAAACAAGTCGTATGTCTGAGGTCGACACAGATCTCCGTAAGTCACATGGAAGATGATGTCGATGCTAATAGCCCTCGCCCCTCTTTGCTCCACCTGCTCCTGGAAATCTCCATGCCGTCTTCGCCCGCTAAAAACGTGCGCGAAGATCACCGGCTTGTACTGCGGCATTCGTCTGAGCGGCAGGGGAAAAGGCGCGAGGTCATTTGCTGCTTTCTCAACAACCCCGAGATAGTCGACATGGACCCCCACCCTCAAACAAATATACAGTATTCTACAAAAGGAAAACACATTGAAAAGAACGTCATATTCGCTTCTGTTTTTCATGTTAGTCATCTCAAGGCGCCGCTCCGAGCTGAACAACTTGGAAGCTCGTCTTCATGACCTACGAGCTCTGAAAGAGGAGGTGAGTTAAATTCCGAGTCCTCCAACCTACTATCGATGGCCTCCAACCTACTATCGATGGTCTCCAACTTACCAGCGATGGCCTGCAACTTACCAGCGATGGCCTCCAACCTACCAGTGATGGCCTCCATCCTAATAGCAATGGAGGTGAGTTAAGAGTCTTCCGAGTCTTTTTGATCCTCCTTGTGTGCCAAGGTTGCGCTTCAACACCATCTTCCCGAAGCGGAGCGAAACCAGGCAGGCTTCATGGACATCTTTGGACTTGGAGTGTCTTGACGTATTTGGTATTTGTGGAACTTGCATATGATTTCCAAGAAAGGCTTTCTAGACCATTTCGATTCTTGAGCTACTTTTGCAAGATTACGGAATACCTGGAGAGAGACATGAAGAGATGTGAAGAGGAGCGCCATGCTGGAGCCCTTTGGTCACGCATCAATGATCGGTCGCATCAGCCGTCCTCAGCCGTCCGCCTCAGGAGATTGACATCATGAGACCACCTTCACCATTGGCCGGCCTGCCTGAAGAACTCATCCAGGCTCACCCGACCCAGAGGTGGCAAGACCTGAACGTCATAACTCCGAGGTGCTGATGCATATGGCTGAGGAGGGCTTGCCAAGCGAGTCTATCTCTTGGTTTGGCCAAACTATTCGCAGCTTGAAAATCACATGCGGATATGTCATTGTCACCTTCTCCGTGAAATGGTCACCATCATCTCCAGGTTTGACAATGGCATTTCACCCATGCACTGGGCAGCCCAGCGCGGTCGCCGTGATCTCATCGAGTTTATTCGACAGCAAATCGCCCCAGCCTCAGGGTTTCTGCAAAGCAAGATGATTCGAATCCTAGAGCTTCAGCAATCCGTTGTGTGTCACCTTTTCCCAACAAGCATATAAAATATGTGTACCAATCTTGCATTCTCTCGAAGACATATACAGTCTTGTTATTTAGAGCTTGAGTCCAGGTCGGGGGGGCACGAACTTCTCAGCTCCAGAGATGTACAGGGTGCGCAATTGTGGGGTCCCAAAGGGCTGACCATTTTAGATGTCTGCTGAAGACAGGCCGTATACCACTATTCTTTGCAGAACGCGGTGGTAAAGCCGGACTTGCCTACCACCTACGTCGGGTCGGAGGCAGAACCAGTCCAGAAAGCAGCATGCTTTAAAACTAGACACATCAGGCTGGCTTTGGGTTGCACAAATGCACATCAGAGTGGTTGGTAGTCATTGAGGCGGCTCAGCAAATCTTCTAGTCAGGCCATCGGAAGCACAGTTTGCCATTCCCTCTTGCCCAATGTACGTTCAGAGACGCGATGTTGAAGCTGGTTTTTGATTACCGTTTTGATCCGTTGTGTTTGCCTAAGTCTAGACATATCACTGCAATGTGATGGACCCTACTGCAGGCCTTCAGAACGGCGACCTGATACAGCTGACCTTGCTCCCGCCTACAAGAAGGCAACACATCTGGCCGAATGCTCGCCTGGATTGTCAGAACAAAGATAGGCACTTGGGAATCGGACTTGTCACATATGCGACGTAATATGAAGGAAAGTCAAGACTTGCGTCAGGTGCTCAAGAATTAGTCTTTGTGGTTTTGTCTTATTTGTGTTCTCGCCATGGAGCTTCCGCATGTCAACGCGTTGAGCGAAGATCCGAAACATGCAACAAGAGTCCTTTCTGGCCTGGCAAACTTGACGCAATGGCAAGTTGCAAGCAACATGTTGAGACATATGCATATTTGCCGAAAGACTGTTAACAAATTTCATTTGGGATCTGTTCTCAACGCGTGCCAGAAAGCCACACAATGGCAATGCGCCACTTACTTGCTTTGGTCGTCCTTTCAGTCGGTTCACCCTGGGACTGGGAGTTCGAACATGGAGTCAACCGTGTCTTGCAGCTCAGTGCTTAGCAGTTGTGGGACCGCAAGTCGGTGGAAGGACACGTTATCTCTTTTGGACTTTATGCAAGAGAAGCGCTGCGAACCAAACTTGGTGACATTGAATTCCGCGCTTTCCTCCGGAGTGAAAGACAGCCTTTGGAGAGGCGTTCTTGCCGTTCTGGGTGTTTTTGCCGGTCCGAGTTGTGCGGACGCACAAAGGTGTCCAACAGGTCGCCCATTCTTGCAGCCTGATATTGTGAGCTTAAATGCGCTGATGAGCAGCTGTGAGAAGGCAGGTGAATGGCAAGTGGCATTGAATATTGTTGGTTGGGAATGTCAGAGCAAAATGATCTCAGCTTCAAGGATCAGTTTTTCCGCCGCTGTCAGCGCCTGCGAGAAGGCTGAGCAGTGGCACTGGGCCGTTGAGATCTTTGGGGCGGCCGATCAAGCAGAATTTTCTGGGAACGGGCTGAAATGCATCCATTTGCATTGCTTTAATGCCTTAGCCAGTGCGTGTGGGAAGGGCCGGAAATGGAAGCCGGCGACAGCATTGATGGACAAATTGGCATTGTATATGGTTGAGCCGGATACCATAACCTTTAATGCACTGCTATACTCTTGTGAACCGCAGCAGTGGAAGATTGCCTTGGGTTTGCTGAGGCTCATGACTTGCAGGGAACTAGAGAAAAATGACATTACATTCAATGCAGCCTGTGCTGCTTCTAGGTACAACTGGCTCGCAGTGCTGAGCTTGTTGCATGCCATGCAGTCTGCGGAGATACAAGCCGACGCACTCACTCAAAGCTCGCTGGTGGCAGCTTGTGTTGCAGCAAGGGAGCAACCAGGTGTCGCAGCTCGGGCAGGAGCAGTGCTAAAAGACATAGCTACATCCTGGATCATTCGTGTAAGGCCGGGTCCACAACATTCGAGCGGAGAAAGCCACAATTCCTTTTGCAGGAACAAAAAGTGATCCGATGAGACATTTGGGCAGACTTGCACACTTTAAACACTTGAACAACAGGAGCTGGCCACACTTTATGACTAGCTTCGGATTTGAAGGTGCTGGAACAGATTGAGCAGCGTGGCTGGCAGTCGATGAAGTGGAAGGTGCGTTGGTCATTTGGGTTTCAACCTTAAATCCACATCACGCTTTGCAAGAAGCTAATTAGAAACCTACATGCTACCAAATGCCTAAATACCTTGAATTTCAAAATTGAGCAAAGTTCCTTCTTGTCCAAGCTGTCACCATTTTGCTACAGACCTCTTGTCGAACTGTTTAAAATGGTCAGGATGAGTTTACTATGTTGCATTGGGCTGCAAGCCACGGCAGAAAGGCCACGGCGAGTCTGAAAAGGTTTCCTCAGATGTTCATCGGACTTCTAGGACTTGTGTCTGTACCTGCTCAGCCAGCAAGCAAACCCATTGGACAAGGACAACAAGGACTTTCGGCTGGGAACACACGTGATTTCAGCCCGATGTGTCGAGATTCCAAGCTTAAATTTGTTGGCCTATTTGCGCTTCCTGACTTTGTTTCGCAGATGACATTGATCAGTTTGCAGGGAAGAACTGCTGCCAATGTTGCACAAGAAGCCGGGCACCTTGAGGTTGTCGCAGCACTTCAGGATAAGGTTGGGACTTGCTGCGCCATTTTTTTATTGTGGCAGTTTCAGGTACAAGGCACAGTTGCAAACGACTATATAAAGGCTATCAATTTGGCAATACGCTTCGCCTTAAGCCAATATGGAAGAGAAGAGTTGTATTTTTGTTGGCCAAGCTTTTTGTTCCTGGACAAAGCTTGCACACTGTTGCAAAACAGGCAGGGCTTTTGTGACATTTGTGGCTTGTTGCACGGCCAGGTGACAATGCCCAGAAAATCAGTGAGTCATCTTGCTTTCTCAGCTGCAACTGAGTAGCTGTCAGACCTTCAAAGTTAAGGTCTCAAGACATACATTTCATGTACAATTACATCTGACATATGTGCAATTTACCATTGCAATTTCTAGAGGCTAGCTGCTCAACAGAGCGCTACTTGGGGTTGGAGAATGAGCACCTTAGTTGAATGGCTTTCTCAAAAGTAAAAGCTTTAGCAACCAATGCTCGCTCTCCTTCTTTCGTTTTGAAGCAATAGCTTCCCCACGACAATGTAAAGTCAATGCCTTTCAGTGCCAAAAGGATTGCTGGATTGCTGGAGCAAATGGCAGTAAGAGTTACGCCGAGCTAGTCAGTGGTGCGACATCTTGCGCAAACTTGTCCTGGACTGCTTCGTCCTGCCACTGGTTTGCACGACTCGGTATGACTTGGTGGTATGTCATGTGCACGACTCATGTGTGGCGTCGGCCATTGCAGTTTCGGCACTTGGGACGTTCTGCAACTTGCGGCCTCCAATGGCCAGTCACGGAGGTGCCCTGTGAGAATAATTGACGAGCTTTGTGAGCCAAAGATGCGAAACGTTGCTGAAAGGCCTTGGTCTTGGACTCAATTATTCCTCAATTACTACTAGCTATAAACTTTTGTCTTTTCTCTTCGGGCTCTTTATCGATCTTCCTTCCTTGCTTCATCTTGCTTCCTTCCTTTTCCATTCGTGAGGCAAAAGGCGTCGTTTTTGCTGCTTTGTTGATCTCTTATGAGTTTCCTTCTTGAAGGGAACGCGTGCAGCGTATCCTCGCCAACCTTGCCTTCCGTGAGCAGTGTCCATCCTCTGAGGCCAACATGTTGTGCTCAGTGGTTGTTTGTGTTTTTTCTTTTAAATGTGCGTTCAGTGGTTTTTTGGGAGCAAGATGCAAGGTTAGCAAGTTACCAAATCCCAGGGCCAGAGAAAGCTCCAGGGAAACCCTCGAGGAAAAGACATTCTTCAACCCCAGTTGAGGCAGACCGCTTCCTTGACAAGCAGACAGAGAGCTAGCGCAGCTGATTTCTGGGAGGCAGATCATCTGTGCGTACGGAAAAGCTTCTTCATGCAAGCCTAGCAGACATGACAGGTTCGACATACAGTATGATGAATGCTTCCAGATAGCCACACCAGTGCATGATTCTCTTTTATATGTCAAGAGGATGCCACAAGGTCACACTGCGGCGGCGCTTGGGAACGCCTGGTCCACCTCCGCATACTTTGTGCGGAACACCAAGATGTGCGAATCGTGGTTCTCTAGGGCAGACAACCGAAGGAAAGTGTGTGTTGAGCAAGTACAAGACGGGGCATCAAGAGGCCAGAAGTTCTATTTCGCAAGCTTATACACAATGCATGCTCCCATACATTCATTTTTGGGCAGTTCACGCTTTGAAGAAATGGACATGAGCACCTGTCTATTGTCTTTAGCGATCCCGGCGATCCCTTTCCTTGAAGGCCGGGTCTAAAAGATCGACCTCGTTTGCCTGTAGCACAGGCCTGGACAAAACCATGCAGGACCTCGAGTTTGTTCCAATGCCATGTGTGTTGAATCTTTGGGGTGCCCCAGGCAGACATGGCACTAGCCATACATGGCATTGGTACACTTTGACACGCCTTGTTACTAGTAGCTTCTTGTTACTAGTAAGGTGCCTTGTTACATCAAGTATTTGCTGTCAGGCTTCGGGTGTCAACTCCGCTCCGTCCACAGTTGGACCTTCCGCGTTCTGGACTTGGGACACGCAGGAAGCACATGGATAGCCCAAAACAGACGTTTGCAAGCTCATTTTTTGAAAACCACACTGAACCCAGGAAGTTGCAGATGTATGTTGCAAAACACTAGGCTGCAATATTTGCAGCGTTGCTTTTCAGTGTATTTTTCCCTGCCCCAAGGTCAGTCGTTGCTTGGTTTGCTCAATACCAATGCACCAAGTGTGGACAAGTACCAACTTCTTTGGTCCGGTGCTAATTGCAAGCTCTTGTCCACTTTGATTTTTGTTTTTCAATGTCCTAGGAGGCTCGCTTTTGCCACCTTTGTGGTGAGTCTTTGCCTTTGCCCCGTGTGCCGGGCGCAGCCTGGGTCACAGAACAACTAGAGAAGCACATGCTTTTGTTTTCGGTCTTTCATTTTATACACAATTTGGATATGTTATAATGCGTTTCTCTAAAATGCTCCTTCTTTTTATTCCCCACATCTTAGTGTGGGGTTCTTCTTTTCTATGTCTCATCCCGCTTCTTCCGCTTCACTTCTTCCGCACCTCCGCCCCTCCTTCCACACTCATCTCACACACCACTCATCACACACACCACTCATCACACACCACTCATCTCACCACTCATCACACACCACTCATCACACACACCACTCATCACACGCCACTCATCTCACACACCACTCATCTCAAACACCACTCATCTCACACACCACTCATCACACACCACTCATCACACACCACTCATCACA